CTCTTAAGGTCTAAATTTGTTTGAGGTGTTGGGTTTTTTATTTTACTGAGCCGCTCAAGCGCCGCACTTTAGAGAGCAGAGAGCATTAACTCATCCCCTGGACGGGCGGGAAGACCCTCGAGGCTCCTCTCCCTGTCATATTTCCAATGGTAAAACGAGAGGGACTCATCCTGGTACGCCTCATGTCAGCCCTTTGGCTGGAGTTTCCACCCTGGAATGTAAATTTTCTCACGTTTGCTATCAGCAGAGCTATTAGGGAGCAGAAATTCGGGGACAGAAAAACAAACCTCTTCTCCATGTTGTTGTTACAGCTTAGAAAAAGTGGCGTTTGTTTTAAAACTCCTGAAATCAAGTTCGCCTCTAACTTCATCTCATCTGCCTTCAAGCATGGGTTTTCACTACGCAGTAATTTTAGCCAGTGGTAAACCTGGAAGTGTTGATGAATGCTCAGGCTTTTCTGGCCATTAGTAAAACATAGGTATGGTAACCTTTTTGTGACTCTTATTTTTGTTGTTGTTGTTGTTTTTCCTCACTTATAGCTGAGCAGTTTACACCTGAAGGAGGAAAAAAACAAACCAGATGCCAATGGTGAGTTGTAGCCGCTCAAACAGTCTTAGAAAGGGCGTGATGTTGGGTTTGGAGTGCTGCTGCCAAAGTAAATTCCCAATTAGTCAAGAAATTCCAGAAGAGGGAAACATAAAGCTAAGATTAAACAGCAGTGTACGTTAAACGTCTGGCTCACGTGCCTGTTCTGCTAAGCTAACTTTTTAAAATCCTGTTCTGCTGAATTCAAGGAGCTGTGTGGGCAAAAGTGGTTGGTATGGTCAATAAACTTTGATTTGGCTGCGCAGAGCAACCTGTAACTTTGGTTTCTTCTACACACCGATAGAGCAGGGCTGTTCCCATAAGGAAAATGATCTTTTCCTCATTTTTGTGGCTTTTCCTACAATAACCTAAAACTTGGCTGCCTGACCTCACTCCTGCCCCCAACAATGTCTGTTTTAATTTAGGTGCTGTTGTCAAGGCAGACGACAACATAGAGAAGACGGAGGATGAGGAGAAAGGTAAGTGCCATCTTGAAAAACGCTTTAGTGAGGAATGTTGAAAAGAAAATTCATTCTGTATATACTTAAAGTAAGTCTGCCTTATGTCTCAGGATGGATGATCTTGTATCCTGCCCCAAGGACTTAATTGTAAGACATGTCCTTCCTCCATAATACTTTTAAAGCCATTGGGTCCTGTAATAACTTGGGAGACTCCTGGATTAGGGTGGAGAGAAATAAGGGGATAGCAGTATCCTCAAAGGCAGGACTGGATACAGGAGCAGTTGGATAACCTGCAGCTGGAATTGCTGTAGCAACCAACATGTTGTGTTTATGAAATGGCTCTTAAGAAGTGGGTAATGGCTCTAAATCCTTCAGAAGGTGGCTTTAGAAACCAGATGTATTAGCAAAACCCCAAAGCGCAGCAGTTTAACATTCTGTTTTGAGTTTGCTTATGCTCAGCCCTTGCTGCATTTCAGCCCCGGCATCTTTCAAAGTACTGTTTGTGCTCAAACTGTCTGTAAAAAGAAAAAAACAAACCTAAAAGGGCTCTGCCCACCTGTCAGAGAATAATTAAGAGACTTTTAACCCTGTCCCACCTTCCAGTTAGATGCTAAGCTTTAATGTCTTAAATAAGCAGAGTGTTAAGGTCCCCCTTAAAGCAGTGCTTGCCTTGGTTTGTCTTTCCAGATATTAAATGTGAATCTTGGGGACATCCCGATAGATGGCTCATTCGGCGAGTTTCGGCTCTTTCATGCCACTGCTCTGTAATAGAGAATTTCGGGATTTGGATGCGTCTTGTCCTTTTTAACTGGCTCAGTAATGCACCGTTTCAGTGGGAGCAACACCCGAAATGGCCCAAGGTTGCTTATTTTCTTTACCTCCTTTTTCAACAGAGGACAGAGCTGCCCAGTCCTTGTTGAACAAGCTCATTCGCAGTAACTTGGTTGACACAACAAATCAAGTGGAAGTGCTGCAGAGAGACCCCACATCGCCCCTCTACTCCGTGAAGTCTTTCGAGGAACTGCGACTGTAAGTCCCGTTAGATTTCCTGGCTGTGTAGGAGAGAGCACTTGAAAGTGCCGAGGTTTCTGTTTCAAGTTACTGCAAATTTGCCATTAATAATTTATTATCATTTATTGTGTTATTTAAATGCAGGGAGAATTATTTTCTCTTGGTTCCTTGTGAAGGCTTCCATCCGAAACGAGCTCATTGCAAGTCCTGGTCGGTGTGTAGAGTTAGCATTTCTTTCCATAATCAGCTCTAGCAACGCTCCTCTGAATTTTAATGTATGGGTTTTGTCTTCAAATGCGCAGCGGAGCTCACGTGTGCTAAGCTGGGTGAGGTGACAGAGGAGGGAGGGCTGTCCTTCCAGGGCCGCTGTCACCGGGGCTATGCGAGTTGCAAAGCGAGACCTTTTCTGTGCCAGAAGCACCATTATTTTGCCACCGGTTCTCCGGCAAACGCAGTGAGGCTCAGAGTAGGTGTCGCAGCAGCACAGCAATGTTTTGGAAAACACAAGATTTGTTTTGTTGGCAAAAGTAATGAACACAACTGTCTTCTGTTCCTGTTCTCTGACGGTTATTTGTGAAGGTTGCGAGTTGCAAAGCGAGACCTTTTCTGTGCCAGAAGCACCATTATTTTGCCACCGGTTCTCCGGCAAACGCAGTGAGGCTCAGAGTAGGTGTCGCAGCAGCACAGCAATGTTTTGGAAAACACAAGATTTGTTTTGTTGGCAAAAGTAATGAACACAACTGTCTTCTGTTCCTGTTCTCTGACGGTTATTTGTGAAGGTTCAGCAGCAGCAGTGAACAACACAAAGGGAGAAGCTTCTCTTTTCTCTGCCAGCAATACTGGATTTATGTACTGGAGAGGCTACTAGCGTTAGTATGTTCTAACCCTTCCTGTTGAATACCTTTACCGGTGGAGCTTTCAAGCAACAATAGTTGTATTTAAGGCATGACAGATTTATATTTTTCTTTTTAACGTGCTAAAGAGGCTGTCCTGTTGGGATTGTTGTCGGTTATATTGATGATCTAGGGTTTGTTGCTCCTTTGCGAGCTGCATGGGGAAATCGGAGCTGATGAGACTTCTCTCCGTGAAATGTCAGGATGTCGTTTCACTTTGTTAATGTTAGTGGTTGAATGTTTAGAAAAAAAAGATGAAGTGCTGTAGTGCCTGTTAGACTAATTCAAAAGCCAAATAATCCAAGTGAGTTAATGATGGGGGCAGCCAGACTAATTGAGTCTTCATTTTGTTATGACTTGATGTATCCTTGGCAACTGTTGCAGAGTCGGGCTTTGTATGTCCTTGCTTCTGAGCAGCACAAGGTTACATTTTCAAAGAGCTTTTGTTCCAGCCATTGTCTGAAAGTAATAGATGATTTTTAAAAAGCCTGTTGTGCCGAATAGGAAGTTCTTAACAGCAGGAGATGGTGGGCAGGAAACCTGTAACCTGCTTTGAAAGGAAAGCTCTTACTTCTTGGAGGTCATCACCAAAGAGTTCGCTAGCACCATAACCTGCTTTTTCAATTGTTCTTGGATCTCCTTGTCTACAAAATTGCCTGCTGGGACTAGAAGGTTAAAAGCAACCGATCAGCGTTTGAGGACACCCTTAGGTTTGAATGCTGCGTTATAATCGTGGATCACTAGGTGTAGTCACGGTGAACTAAGCTGCTCCGTCATTTGCCAGTTTTGTGCGCTAAGCCAGTATCGCTCTGGTCTTAGGAGGTCACTATGTATTACAGAATCCATTGTGACTTACTGAAATCCTTGCATGATTTCATGATGTGACACTTACTCTGTTCCTCATATACTGAGGTCGCTTTGTCCCGTTTTTGTGTCTTCAAGGAGTGATAAATATGGTGCTGGGGAAAAGGGATTGGCCTAAAGGACAGGATTAATGCTTTTTGTTCTGTGGTTCCTGGGGTTGTCTGAAAAGCTGCTTTAGAAAAAGAAGTCCGGCTCCAGCCTGGGAGCTGTGACACGTGGTTTTCCATGTAGCTGTCGAAGGCAGGCGTGCAGCCTGACTTCCTAAATCGAGGGGGTTTTGCAAAGATTCCTTTCCAAACTTTCTGCTGTCACGTGTTGTAGCATCCAGGCGCTGGTCATAGTCACTTCACCAGTGCGATTACAGCCAGGAAGGGGCAGCTCTAGGTCCGCTTGCAGGGGTTTTTTTCTCACCTTTTTGTACATAAATGAAAACCGAATGTACTTTAATAGGTCCCGGTATAAAAACTCCTCTGTTTTCAGGAAATCACAGCTCCTGCAAGGAGTCTATGCCATGGGCTTCAACAGACCATCTAAGATACAAGAGAATGCACTGCCTATGATGCTTGCTGAAAAAAAAAAACATACTTTCTACTCCCTTCCAGTATAGGAAGGATTTGAAAGATTCAGGGTACTGTTACTGAGCTGGGGATGGGAGGATGGTGATGGAGGAGCTATCTGGGCTGTGGTGAAAGGGTTCCCAGGCCATGGTGTGGCGTTTCTGTGGTCCCAGCCTGGGTGACAGCAGCCCTGGGTTTGTCTTTTTCCTAGGGCTGGTACTGAACACGCAGTGCCGCAGTGTTTGACTGAGGTCTATCCAATTTTCCTAGGCAGCATAGGGGAGAAATAATAAGGCTGCTATGGGATGTAGCTCCAGGAATCCTGGGTGGGTGGGAGTAGTTGGGATGCTGCGTTGCCTGCATGGCTGGTTTTCCTCTCCGTGCCCCTGAGCTGAAATGTATGAAAAATGAAGACACCAGGGGTTGATGTGCAAAATGGAGAAGTACTGACAGATAATCATGATTTTCCTTCCAAATCTCCATAATCCAAAGGTGCTGAAAGAGAGAGTTGGTAGAGGGCAGAAGCTAACTTCTGCCCTGTGGAGAGTAGCTGGTCGAGCTAGGCACCAGTCCAGAGCAGTGGTAAATCTAAAAGGTATTAAAATGCCACTCGCTGTGTTTTCTGTGTCGTTCAACCCTGTGAATACATTGTGTGGGTGGTTCATCTGGTTGAGCTCATGCCTGCTGTATGTCCTGCAGCCCACAGAACTTGATCGCACAATCTCAGTCCGGTACTGGCAAGACGGCTGCCTTTGTCCTGGCCATGCTTAGTCGTGTTGAACCCGGGAACAAGTACCCTCAGGTAAAGTTTCTGGGACAAACTTGTTTCGGGGGGTTTCGTGGTGGTGCAGTGCTACCTAGTGAAGAGGCTGGGCTTCTGCTGAGACCGTGGATATTAAATTCATAGCTTGATGAGCCCATTTCCGTGATGCCATAAACTGCTTAGCAGGGGCTGGCGATTCGGGGATCTATCAAAATGCCTTTAACGCAAAAGACGTGGATTTTGCTCGCAACTTGTTCCTGTCAGTCCCTCCCTTGCATCACTCAGGATGCCATTGCTCTGTGAGGAGTTAAATTGGGGGGGATATCATTCTGTGAGAAATCAAATCAGAGAAAAATTGCAGGCTGGAGGGATGGAAGAGGAGATATTTGTGACAACAGAGCAGACAATGCACAGAAAGGGGTTTCTTTTAACCCAATTTCCGTATGAGATAGTTGAGCAGTTTTACCAAGGCTGGAGTTCTTTCCTTAAAAAATGCTGTTCTTATCTCTTAGTCTAACTGTAGGTGTGTCAGGTTCCTTGTCACTACTGTCCATACATGTCCCCCAGAAGAGTCCTGCACCCCCAAGCCCAAGGAGCAGAAATGAACGCAGAAAGCCTGTAGCGAGGTGACTGTATCGTATCGGCTCACTCCCCTAGTTTCAGGATGCAGAACTGCTGGGCTTTCAGAAACTGTTCATCTTCAGGATAACTTCAGTAATAAGGATTTTAAAAAGCAGGTGTGATAGCGTTGCCCAGGATGTTGGTCATCCCAAACTCGTTCTCCTTCTGTCCCTCCAGTGTTTGTGCCTTTCCCCAACATATGAGCTGGCGCTTCAAACAGGAAAAGTGATTGAACAGATGGGAAAGTTTTATCCGGAGCTGAAACTTGCGTATGCTGTCCGGGGCAATAAATGTGAGTAAGGGGAAACGCTGCCAACGGACTGTAAATGAGAAAATGATGCTCCTTGGGTGCAATCCAGTAAAGGAACTCTAGAGCAGTCAGATGGTGAAATAGGCTAGTTCAGAGAGGGGCAGAGTGTTCCACTGTCTGCACAGCCATCTTAGGAAAGCCTTCTTTTCTGTCTCGGCAGTGGAGAGAGGCCAGAAGATCTCCGAGCAGATTGTCATCGGCACACCTGGCACCGTGCTGGACTGGTGTTCCAAACTGAAATTCATCGATCCCAAGAAAATCAAAGTCTTTGTCTTGGATGAGGCTGATGTGATGATAGCAACACAAGGCCATCAGGACCAGAGCATCCGCATTCAGAGGTAAGGACTCGGCGTACACTGCCTGAGGTGATTTTTGTTTCTTTCGATGATGGCTGTTTTGTAAGGTAGGGACAGCAGGGCTAGATTCTTGACCACCAGTGCCTTCACTGATAAAGCAACAAGATTAAAATGATATATTTATCTCTAATCCAGATGATTAATAGAGGCAGAATGTCAGGGGATGACAAGCAGTTTCATTTTCTTACAGAATAAAAAGCCTGTCCCTGGAGCAGGGTTTATTAATTTTTAAGAATGCAAGTCTGGATGCCACTGGTCCATGAGGGAACGATCAGTTCTCGGTAAGATTAGCATTAGTCTTTCCAGCCACTGAAATAACTGGTTCTTAGGTTATTGCTCTGCTTTGCCCGTAGCATTAATCCCATCAGGATATCAGGGGAGCGACAGTGTTTTGTGGGAACTCTGCCCATTTTGCTCTCTTTTTGCAGAATGCTCCCCAGGGACTGCCAGATGCTTCTGTTTTCAGCCACTTTTGAGGACTCTGTGTGGAAGTTTGCTCAAAAAGTTGTTCCTGACCCAAACATTATCAAACTGAAGCGAGAGGAGGAGACACTGGACACTATTAAGCAGTATTACGTTCTGTGCAGTAACAGAGATGAGAAGTTCCAGGCGCTCTGTAATATCTACGGCGCTATCACCATTGCCCAGGCTATGATCTTCTGCCACGTGAGTCCTTTTGCAGAATGCTAGTCCCAGTGATCCTGTTAGTGTCCGCTAATGCTAAAAACCTGTCCAGGCACGCTTTTCAGAAAGAAACCAAGAATACAATTGCTCCTTTTCTTTTTTTTTCTTTTCTGGCTCCCTCTTTCTGTGAAATCTTGAGAGCTGTGACAGCACTAGCCAGGTTGTTTCTCTGGGTTCGTCCATCCAGGAGAGCAGAATGGTCATTTTTATTCTTGAAGTCTGAAGCAAAGATCAAAGTAATGCACACTTTTCCAAAAGAAAGTATTACTTGGAACTGGGGGGGCCGGGGGGGAGAAGGAAAAAGAAAAAAACCAGAAAGGTTGGAAAATGGGTGAAAATAGGGCAGAATGAGGGATGGGGAAGTCTTGTAGTTCTGTGGCTGATATGTAGCTTTCCCTGGGATTCCGTCTCGCTCAGGTAACTGGCAGTGTATCCCTGGGGTCTCCCTATGAATCATACAGAGACTTTTTTTTTTCCCCTGGAAGCCGCTGTAACTCTTAAGAAAAAACCCAGTGCTGACAGCACCAGAACAGCCATGTAAAGGCAGCTGAGACAAGATAAAACCTGTATGTGGGTCTGCTGCAGCAGTCTCCTTTTAGGCTGTCTCGAGATGTAATAATATCAGACATAATCAGAGCTCAGAAAATGATCATAATTGGAAACTGTTTCATTCAAGACTGCGTAGAGCCGCTGTTGGATTGCACAACTATGCCCAGCTCCTACCCTGCCGTTTTCCAAGCTGAGGAGTTTTGTTTTCTTGACAGTGCTCGTGAGTTTTTAGCATACATCTGTAATCCCTCATTGAGTGAAAGCTGAGGAGCAGAGCACAAAGAATACGCATACTTTTCTCAAACAAGGAAGGGTTCCTGTGGTGGCAGATCCACATTTTCCTATTTCTGATACGAAAGCTGGGAGCACAGTTTGTAACAGGGAGAGGGTGGGCACAAAAACAGCAGCTGCGGAGCTTCCATTTAACCCCAGAGAGGTTTGTTCCTGCTTTACAGCATTAAACGTCCCTGCCAAAGACGGGCCTCGCTTTTGTGTTTCAGACTCGGAAGACGGCCGGCTGGCTGGCAGCAGAGCTCTCGAAGGAAGGCCATCAGGTGGCATTGCTCAGCGGGGAAATGATGGTGGAACAGAGAGCCGCGGTGATAGAACGTTTCCGAGAGGGCAAAGAAAAGGTGCTGGTGACCACAAACGTCTGTGCCAGAGGTAGGGCATGGCAGAGCTGGGCCGGGGAGAGGCAGAAGCAGTGGTTCCTAAGATAAATTGCAGCTGGCCAGTTTACAGAAAGAATTTGTATCCTCAGGTGCTCTAGTCTGGAGAAATTAGGGTCCTTAAAGTAATTCCTGGGCTTTTGGGCTGTCGGCAGTGTCTGTGCAGATAAAGATGCCTGCAGGCAAACACAGGATTCCTTGTAGGTGGAATTTCCTGCAGCTTGAGGTGAAGAAGTCCACCCTGTGAGAATTTTATGTTTCTGGAACCAAGCCTGGCTTGTACTGCTGAGCTTAAGTGTTTAAAATAAACATGTTCCAAAATACAGAAATCTGAAACATACTGAACTCCAGGAGGAATTTGTGTTGCAATTTGACATCCTAGAACAGTTAAGACAACATAGTACTTGGAAAAAAACAAGAGGCCTTTACAGCTGTGGAGAGGAGAGAGTTTCCAAAATATGTAAGTTAAAGCTGAGCGGCTCCGACTGCTTTTCTCTTAGCTGTTTTAGTGGGATTGCGTGGTGTAACAGCTAGGTTTTATTTTGAAGCACCCCATAAGCATATTGTGGTAAAAGATCCATTTCAGAGTTTGAGAATGGCTTTTAACTCCTCACTTGGTGCGGAGGTAGCTGTCTGAAATTCTCTGTCGGGAATTCTGGCTGAACTGCACGCAGCTCAGGCCAGAGGAGGCTGTTCCTGCTGTAAAATGGGTTAAATGTAGCTGTGTAATCTGATGTTTTCTTCTTCTCAGGGATTGATGTAGAGCAGGTCTCTGTCGTTATCAACTTTGACCTTCCTGTGGATAAAGATGGAAATCCAGATAATGAAACTTATCTGCACCGGATCGGACGTACAGGTCGTTTTGGCAAGCGAGGACTGGCTATTAACATGGTGGACAGCAAGCACAGCATGAATATTCTCAACAGAATCCAGGAACATTTCAGTACGTACCCTCAGGCTTTCTTCTTTCTCTAAAAGTAGATGTTATTTCTTTTTTTTCTTCTTCCTCTAAGAGTAGATGTTATTTCTGCAGAATTTTGACTAGCTCGATACTGAGCAAATACTTACGGGGCCTTAAACTGACCACAGAAGAGGACATCAGCTGCGTTTTGTGTAGTGCCACTTAGGATTGTGAACTGCTATGTATGATAGGAGCAGAAATAAGTCAAGTTGACTGTTTGCTGGCTACCTGAGTAGTCCTTAATGATGGATGTTCCAGATATGGGTAACATTTGCATACCTTGATGGACTGTTGACAAAAGAGGTTTATGTTGTAGTTTTAAAACCCGATTGAACATTTCATGGATAAACCTGAACTCCTCCAGACCAGCTTAAGCAAGCAGCTTTCCCTTCTCTGCTCTGTGTTACAAATCTGACTTATTTTCTCATCTTTCCCAGACAAAAAGATAAACAAATTGGATACCGACGACTTGGATGAAATTGAGAAGATCACTAACTGAAGTACAGCTGCTGGAACTGGTGTGTACCCTGCTGTGGAAGCTCTCCCACTACAATTGGATCAGCGTTCAGATTGGCACGCCTCTCAGCTAGTCCCGAAAAGGACTCTCTTAAGATATGAGTACACAAAAATTACCTCATTTTAAAAATTGCAGCTGGACTTCAAATTGTGCAACTATGGGGAGGAAGAGGAAATGTTTACAGAAGCTTTTAACATTTCTTAGTTTAGCCTTAAAATGGGAAGATCTTTTGAATTCTAAGAAATACACTTGCCAAAAACGGGCAAGATGTAATTATCTGAAACAAATTGAAAAAAAAAAGCTTTATTGCCTTTAATTGGAGTAGAGTTCAGCATTAACCTGATCAGTTAAAATTCAACAGTCAGATACCTAATGGACATAAGTTAAAAAAACAACAACAACAAAAACCCACAAAAAAACCAAACAAGGCAGCTGGTTTTCGGGTAAAAACTCAACTTGTACAAAATAGGATGTCATTCTCTTTGGCACTCCCCTGAGCTCTTTTAAGACTCATTTCTGGCTTCCTGATGGATTTGCCCTGCTTTTCCTTCCGTAAATTGTCCTGAGGATGTCACCAGTAGCTCATACTCACAAACACAGGTGCCGTGTTGCTTTTGCTGGGCAGTATTTTCTTTTCATTTGTCCTTGACTTGTTAATACGGCCCCGGTATGCAAAGCGGTGCCGTGGTGGCAGTGCTGAAGGATGTACTCGAGAAGGTCATCTGAAGCATTCAAGCTCGCCGAGGGGTGGGTGGGATAGGGAGGGAGGGGTGGTATGAAGGGAACTGTACTAATTAATTTTCTGAAGCAATTCACCTCCAGAAAATGCTACTGTCTGTTGGAGGGGAGGGGTTGGTCACCTTTAGGCAGGTGCTGCCAGTTCTAAGATGCTGCTGTGAAGCTCCGCGCGAATAACGTACAGAACTGCTGGGTTTTGCCAAGCAGTAATAGAAATGGGAATAAAAGAAAAATAAAAATCATGATAGCTTGTATCGACCAAAAAAAACCCCACCTTTAGAACACCAAATTTACCTGTTACAGTATGTTTCAGTACCAGAGTTTTGAGTTAAATTGCTCAGCCAAGCTGCAGCTGGGAAGCGCTCCACTTTCATTGTGCTGGTAGTGCAAAACAGGTCGTCGGTCCCTCGCCCCAGGGTGATCCCTGCCGGAAAAGGAATGATTTGCAGCTTCTGTGCTTGGGGCTTTTAGTTGGGTTGGGACCATGCTCCTGCGCACAACTGAAAGCCTGTGGGTTGTTCCCCCAGCCCGCTCGCCAGGAGAAGGAGGCTCCTGAACTAGAAGTTAGGGTGCACAGCTCTGTGTGGGGGGAAACGGGATGTGCGTGAGCAGCCATCGGCCTGCTACTCGGTGCAGGAATCACTTCAAAACCAATGTATAAATTGTAAATTGAACTAGGACTTTTCTTTGCAATTTTGGCCATCATATTCTGTTCAAAGACAGGAACATGGATCCTTTTACCAAGTAAAAAAAGGCTCATTTAAAATGTACCTAAAATTTTAGGAAATTGTGCACCCTTTTATCAATTTGTATAAAGGCTTTAGTGAAGAAAAAAAAAAAACAACTGTTAAAATTAAACTTTTTGTATTCTGGGGTGTATCTATTTTTATTCTGTTGGAAACCTATTTAAAGTGGCAGGTGAGTGAGTGCTTGCGTGTCGAGTGGAAGACTTGTTTCAATCACCTACTTTAATAGTACAGCTGAATTACCTCGTGACAGCAGAGTATTGGGTTGAATTGTCATGAAAGCTGCTGCTGGTCCTGTGTGCTGTTTCTAATGTACTTTTAATTGGAATAAAGAACACGTACTGAACGCTGCCTCCGCTGATTTCTCGCTTGAATGCTTTTTTGGTTTTTAAAAGCTTTAGGTAAGGATGTTCTGAGCTGTGAGTCCTGGTGAGTTGTTTCGGTTTTTTATGACCTTCTCAAAGCATCCTGTGACAGACTGAACCTCACCTGATTTAATGCTGAAGTTCTGAAATTCTTAAAAGCTTGCCATAAGGAAAAAGCTTCCCACAAGGAAGCTTGTTAAATGATGCCACACAATAAATTAGGTCAGAGAAGCACTGTTCTTCCCCTACTAGTGCTTCTTACGCACATTTTTGGAGATGCTGTAGCATGGGTGAGTTTGTTAGAGGACCGGACTTGTTCAACTTGATCTTAGATGGAGATATTCAGGAGGAATGTCTTCCAGCATGAGAAGTGCCGTCTGCCGTGAGCCAAGTTGCTCTTCTCCTGTTCTTGGTTAAAGCATCGGCCCCTGTAACGCTCTCAAAGCGGCGCGGCGGTCGCCGTGTCTTGGGCAGTCACTGTTGCGGAGGGCTCACTTTGCTGTGATCTGGTATTTAATAGAGGATGAAGATAGAAACTCCAGGAGGGCACATGCACAGTGGTGTGGGTGGCAGCTGCCCCTCCCAAACCTAATTTGGACAGTCCCTGAAGTATTTGCCATCAAATTAATGGCGTTTAAGAGGAGATGCGGTGGCTAAGCCTCCGGTTCACATAGATCATTTTAAGTTCACATTTCAGCCTAAAAGGTTTTATTGATTGTACTACCACACAGTATGAAAACGCTCTGAAATGCAGAAGTAACATCGTATTCACAAAATCAGAAGAAAGGAATTAATGCTGAATGCAAGACAGAAAATGGTTCCCGTTCCTGAACCGC